TACGCAAACAATGAATCATGGAACACTACACCAAAAACTAATGATGTAATGTATGGTGATTAACATAACAATAAAAAATTAAAAAATAAAAAACCACCAAACCTACAAGAATTCATATAAAATAGAATTCATTTCAGGAACGAATCAGTTACTTATTTTTGTTTTCAGAACAAGAACTGAAAAATCACTTTGCTTTCTTGAATATCTTTTTTCAGATTTTATTTATTTGACAGAGAGAGCACACGCACACATACAAGCAGAGGGAGCGGCGGAAGGAGGGGGAGAAGCAGACTCCTCACTAAGCGGGGGGAGCCTGATGCGGGACTCGATCCCAGGACCCCGAGATCATGACCTGAGCCAAAGGCAGACGTTTAACTGACTGAGCCTCCCAGGTGCCCCCTTGAATAGATTTTTAAGTGAATGCTTGCATTTCCTTACAAAATTGTCAGATTTAGTGGCCTGATCCCCACCTCTGCCACCAATAGTCCAAAATTTGGAAAGAAAAACTCATCTCAAGTTTGTAGTTGAAGAAGAAATCTTTATGACCCACCAATTTTTCTTTCAATAACTTCCCTAGTAAAGAAACTGCAAAGTTACTTTTTAATGCAGGTACATCACTGTAATTTAACTTTTACTTCAACAGGTTGTAATTTTAAATAAACTAATTTTTCTGTGGTGCATCAAAATGATCATTAACCCCACATAATATTCTTCTCTAGTTGGGCTACTTGCAAGTTTAAAATTACGATTACTTGTGGACATACATAAATGTCTTCTTTCCAAACATTCCGCTGTTACAGACTCAACTGTGACCCTTGGGTTCAAGCCACCTAACACCACTATGTGAGTAAACTACTGAAGACCACACCCCTTTGTGCTTTTACCACCATTTTCTCTTGTGGAATTTATAAAGAAAGAAAAACACAGAAAAATGGTACACAATGTATACTATTTTCATGTCTTTTTAACACTTAAAATTCACGGGTTCGCACTCTTGGGCTCCTTCAGTGACTCTCGGGAGGCCCCGGTTTTCCACGTGCGGAGTGAGTTTCAGAGCAGACACGTGGGATCAGCTGCCGCCTTTGCCCGTGGCCCCCTCTCGATGCTCTCACTTCACTTCCTCACTGAATTCAAGGAGCACACGTTGTGAACTGTGTTAAGGGATTAATTATTAAACCCTTTGGTATTTGTGCCTCTTAGTGATTAACTCTCATCTGTATTGAACAATTATTTCTAGAATGTTTAATTTCTCACAAGCACCTTTGATTTCCAGCTCAAATTTTTATGGTCATAAACAATCCTAACAATTTACATATTTATAAGTATTTCCATATATGTTCATTAACCTTTTGACAATAGAATGATGGTTTTATTTTTGCAATAATTCATTATATTTAGAAAAATATCACTCATAAAGCTAAGACAGGTTTGATCTGTTTTTTTCAAATTTTCAGAGTATTAGATCATTGTGAGCCTAATTAAAGTCTGGCAGCTAACAGAAAAGATTCCAATAAAACTACAGAATTTCTAATGGAGATTTTTAATACCACTGTTTTATACAATGTATGCTAATTAATCAATCTGGCATTAAATTTTTGATTGGGTAATTTTGGGAAAGCAAGCCAGAGAGTATAGATAAGCAAGGTAACCCACAGACATGCAAGGAGGGAGCTGCCATCTGTCCGGACCAACTTTAGTGCCACCCCCCCCACCCCCCCTCCCCCCGCTGCTCTCAAACCCGGCCAGCCTGGACATCAGCGCTGGGGCAGGAGAGAGAGAGGGCGGCTGACGAGGAGAACTCCCTGCCGTGGCCTGCCGTGGCCCTGGGACACAGAGCCGGGGCGGGGGGGCAGAGGGATCGGCAATCTGTGCTGGGTGTGACCCAGGAGGAAGGGACGGGGGCCAGTGAGCAGACAGCAGAGACTCCTCCAGGCCACGTCTGTAAAGAAACGTGGCCTTGGTGCTGCAAGCAGCAGGGACCACGGAAGGGTGTTAGCCACAGGAGCAGCGCATACGTGTGCATATGTGTGCCAAGCAGCATCACCGGGCGGGGGGGGGGCCTGCTGATGGAGCCACGGTGGGGCCAGAACCCGTGCCCGCCACTGCACTCACCCTGCACGTGGACCTTACGTCATCACGGCGCTGCCACCGTCACGATCAACCCTTCGCTCCCACGCCCTCTGAGATCCTTCTCGGGCAGAACGCCCTCCTCGGCCCCGACCCCCGCGCCCTGCCTGGGGGCACGTTGGGGGCCCAGCAACCACCCGGTGCACCGAGGAAACACATCCCCAGCAAATATTTACAGACTTTAAAAATGGACCCTAGCAAATACGGAGAACTCTCCGTTGAACTTTCATTGCAATTATAATGATCATTAATTCTCAAAGTGACAGAATTTAACAAACAGAAAACAAACCCATAATCCATAGAAATAAATGCCTCTGGCTTTTTCTGATCAATCCTCACCCCACCCTGCAAGGCATTAAATTTCATTAAAATTTGTATCTTAAAGAATTGTTACATCATGACTACTTCTTTACTACAGTTACAAGTCCACAGGGAGGAGCCACCCCCGACCCTGAGTGTGGACGATCTACGCCACAGGACAGGGGCCGCGTCCCGCACACGACTGCACCCCGCCAGCGCCCGTCAGCGGCGAGCTCGCGCCAGGGCCGCAACACAAGGCTTACAGTCGTCACCACCAGAGTCCCGGCTGGGAAATAAGGACACAACAACCCCCCAAACACCAACCAAGCTTCGTGCATCCTGTGTCTAGAAAGAAAACACACCGCTGACCTCTTAGGATGGCCCCTCCTGTTCCAACTACAATTTTAAAATGTAATACTAATTTTCAATATCTAGAAGGTGATAATGTCCTGACAAACAGGTGATGAGTAACACGGGAGAAGAAGTAAATGTGACACTGTGTGAAGAACTCAGTGAGATACTTCTTCCTTCGCGGCGGGAGGACGCAGGGGAGGACGGCACAGCGGGCCCTGGCCTCCGGCACCGACGCAGCCACCACGGGCTGTTCCGCGGAGGGCTACTTGGCGCAGACACTGGTCCGCCGACCGGAAGCCAGCCCTCGCCCCCGCTCCCCTGCAGCCGGCCGTGTGTTCCCGTGGGAGCTGACTCCCGCCAGGGGCCCTGGGAGGGCTTCTGCCAACAGCACGGGAGCGGTTCAGAAGCACAACGACCCGCAGGTACGAACGGCCCGAGACTGGCTCCGCACTGGCCGGGCCGGGCGGACAAATGTCCCTCTCTTACAAACGGCCAGGACTAGAATCCAGGGTCCGAACAGCCGCCCTGTGGCTGGCTGTGATGGGGCCAGACCGCTCCTGCCCTGGAGGCCACAGTCTTAACTCCTCGTCCTGTGCGGCGAGCCTGAGTGCAGACGAACGAGCCTCAAGAACGTATCCTGCTTCTGATCCCTCGGCACATCCTACCGTGCTTACGGCAGGGACAGGGATATAGAAAGGGGAACAACCAGATAGGGTTAGTACAGTAACTCTCCATTATAATTTATCACGGTTTTTCTAATTAAAAACTCTGAAAGGTGTTCCGGTGTCTCAGCTCAATGCATTATTCAAAATGCACGCCCTTCAATATGGCGCACTGCAGCCATTCACCTAAGACCGTAAGTCACTGAGAGCGTGAGAATTCCTACACTACTTACCGAAACCCTGAGTGCTCATGATGCCCCTCAACAGACTCATAAAACTAAATGCTGCACAGCCATTAAAAAACCTTTGCATTCCTAAAATCACGGATGGGGGAGCACCTGGGAGGCTCAGTTAGCGAAGCATCCAGCTCCTGATTTCGGCTCAGGTCATGATCTCGAGGTCATGGGGTTGGGCCCCACGTGTCCCTCTCCCTCTGCTTCTCCCCCCACCCCATTCATGTGCTTGCTCTCTCTCTAAAAAAATTAATAAATACAAATCGTAAAAAATGAAAAAAATTAAAATCACGGATGGGGAAGGTATTCATGGTGCAGTAAGAGGGAAGTTCACACTACATGACGTATATACGAGCTCACTTCTGTGGAAATGTTAACACATATGTCTATACGTCTCCATATAAAGCTTTGGAAGGATCGATACACTACAAGGTCAATCACAGTTCCGTCTGGCCAGTGGATTTTTAAAAACAGTCTTCTGTTTTATCTGAATTTCCCTGTCTCCTTATTGCATCTAACACATTACTTGTATTTTAATCAGGAAAAAAACACTTCAGTTTTGAAAACGATGCCCAGCAGATGCGCTTAGGAAAAAAGAAACTGAAGGGTGCCACGACCCCCCCGAAGGGCGGGGCGGCGCCCTACCTGAGAAGCAATGTTGAGCGTGACCGTGTCCAGTCCTCCGGAGAGCAGGCCCTGAGTATCGGCCAGAGTGAGCGTGACACTAGCATCTCCTCCGACTGCTGATGAAGCCATGACCAGGTTCTGAGCAGACATGGCCGATGGAGACATGGGTGTCGTCGAAGGGAGGCTTCCAGGGGTAGCATTCAGCTCTGCGAAAAAGGAAGACGCACTTCAGCGGCAAAGCTGGGCAAGTCCAGGCATAACAGGACGGGAGGGTGGTTTCAGGAAGGAACTATCTGTCAGAATCGGCGTTTACATTACCTAAGCTTCTGAAACTACACCGAGATAATCGCAGAATCTCTCATTCCAATTTTAAGGCCAGGCTTCTACAGTTTCTGAATCTCTTTATGCATAAATACACTTTGCTTAAGTATAATATCAGGAAAAACACAGTAAAAGAGTAAAAATGTGACGCTACAGTCCTAGTCACTACTGCTAAGGCAGGAGGAACTGCCAAGAATTTCCAGGACACTGTCCCCGTCCAGGACCAGAGAGGAGCCTGCAGAGAGGAACCAAACGGGACCCACCGAGCATCGATCGGCAACACGGCTTTACAGTGTGACCTTAACTGCTTAGCCCCCGCCACCCTCCTCTATGTCTGCTAAGGCTGAAATAAACCTCATGCAACCCTTTAAATATTAATTTATCCTGCATGGCATCTCACTTTTCTTTGGAAAAGACAACAAGACTTTTTAATATTTTCCCCTTGCAGCCAATGATAAGAGAAAGGAAGATATCTGGGACAGAATCAGGCAAAGAAAGGCCTTTTCTTTTACAAAACAGAAACTCGGCTGGCAAATGAGATGGGCTGAGCACGGGATTATCAAAGTCCTGTGGTGGACAGCAACAGAAAACAATTTTTTGAGTTTTTACTTGTAAGCATAACACACATGCACATGCGTGCACACACACACACACACACACACACACACTGCTCACCACCTATCCTTCCATTCATCTGACAAACGTGACTTATCATCCCCTGTGTCAGCCACTGGACTAGGTGCTACAGATACCAAGATGGTAACTAAAGCAAAAGGTGAAAACACTATTTCCTAATTAGGTTCAAAAACAAAAAGAGACTCCTGTGGATACTTTGCTGTGACTTGGGTCCCATTAGTCCAGAGCCTCTGCTCTGCGTCAGGGGCCAACAGGGAAACTAGGTTACTTACTTGTAACTGGAGTCCTCCAAATACAATGCCTCCATAGATCCACACTCTTGGAGTCCCACACTGTGTTGCACAGACCTGGAACCTTCAAAAGCAGTATAACCATTAGGAGGCTAGGAGTCTCTGCTCTGCAGCAGCCACCGGGGCTCCAAAGACAACCTCGTCCGACCCCTCCCACCTTGCTGAGCATCTGCGCAGAGTGGACTGCTAGGACACGCTGGGACCGGAGGAGTGTGGATTTGTGGAGGGTGTATGTTCTAAGCACTCCAGTTACCAGTACCTGGGTCAACCTCGTGTTCTCATGTCACCTCCACGCACCCTTCCTCTTGCAGACTAGCATGCACGTATGATTTTAACATGAGTAGACGAAGACTAAAAAGAAGAATCCTGAGAACATGGCAACGACCAGCTACGTGCACTGATGTTCAATCAAAATCACTAGGGTGAAGACTGGGGTTGGGCCATCAAAGCGCCCGGTCAAGAGAAGCACGTGGTGAAAGGCTCACCGGAATTATATCTACAAAGAGTGAAACCAGATGCTAACGGGGTTCACTGCGACCACAAGGCCAAGACTTCAAGCCTCACCCGAACTCCTGAAATAAAGGAATGTCTCTTCTCCGCTCCTCACCAGCAGAATCGGACTCCCTGATGATCATTAATGCAGTGAGGGGGTCCAGGACTGTCAGGCACAGGAAATCCAAAGAGAAAACAAAAGCCTGTCACTGAGCTGAAGTGAATCCCAACACGGAGGTCAGTGGGGACACTAACCTCAGCCAGTGCTAGACTTCACATCTCTATGCCAACAGTGTGTGAATGAATGTTCAGCTATGTTCCACATTCAAGACATTTTCCACCAAGAGGATGGTATCAGTTCAAGTAGAACTTCTATCCTCAAAATGGTCCAAAAACAGGTAATGTGAGTAGGAAAAAATGAAGTTTTCTTAAACACGCAATAGCATAACTAATTAAATGCTATAATTACATTTGTTCAATATATAGTTCTTAATTATATAGAAAAAGATTTATTTAAAGCTCTAGAAACCACAGTTTCATTCAAACTAAATACTCTCAACCTGGAAATTAAGGTTGAATACTTGAGCACAGACTGCAAACTCTCACCTTCAGTCCTCATTTACCGGCTCTGAAACCACAAGTCCTCCAGGCCACATCGCAGAAATCTAAGTCTTACTCAGTTTACGGTTCTAACTCAAAAAAAGTCATCTCTAAAGGATGAGTAAATCCCTCATGGTCATCAAACCCATCACTGTCTTAAATCCTTGTTGGGATAATCTTTATAGCTTCTGAGAAAACTTAATGATAATTCTGGAAAGTTTCATAAGCAGTTTAAAGGATGTGAGATCAGTTTTCTTCTTGAGATAAAAACGTGGCAAGAAAGGTGTGTGTGTGCTGTGGGGGGACTGCGGGAACAGGGAGACACATCGTCCGGCCATTCATCCCCAAGGAGAAAGTGGGGAGAATGTCCTCCGTAATTATAAAATGTACCCACAAATGGGAAATGTTAAGACTTCTGAGCTGCTGGGAAGGAAGTAATTGATCGTACTTAAATCTGGAAGAAACAAAATAACCTTACAAAGGAAGGAAAAACAGAATTGTGGCTTTTTTTTCCCACTGAAAACATGACTCAATTTATTTATCAAAATTATGTTAATAGTGGACAAAGGTAAGAACCAAAAGATAACAGCCATTTGAGATAAATTCCTTAAAAAGCTGTGCTAAACTTCCAGCCCGTTAGTAACACCTTCTGCCTCTGCGAGGGCGCTCACAACACGTGGGACCACATCCTAAGAAAACCACGTGTGTCCGGTGTTGTCGTGGATGCGTCAGGGTCAGACCGTGAAGCGGCCTCCGACCCCATGTCAGGTATCTGAACAGAAGCCCATGCTTCTGTCTTGCACGGGGAACGCTGCGGTCCTTGTTTATTTACATGCCCCTGAAAGGGAACGCCCTTGTTCTTTTCAGTGCTGCAGTTAAGATGCCAAGGGCCAGATCTGTCCCAGAGGCTGAAAGCCTCAAGGGCATCTCGTGCCCAGCGGGAACTCCAGGGGACAACAGCCCCGGGCACCTGCGCTGTGCTCTGATCTAAAGGGCCACATAAAGTGGCACTTGCAAACACTGAGAGTTTTTGTTTTACTGTTTTTCTTAGAAGAGGCATGTCTAATCACAAAGGCATTTTAGTTTCAATTCCTGGTGTGGCTTGAAGCTGGGCCTGGGAGTGACTCTGACCCTCAGGAAAACGTTGCCCTTTCAAGACGCAATCTCTTAACTGATGTTATACCCACAGGGTCAGTTCCACTATTATAACTCGTAGCAGCGGAACATGCAAACCCCCAAAAATACCTGCCTACCATCAAGGATTGAGTAGTTCAACGCAGGAAGAATCTCTTCCCATATCCAGGTTTATTCAAAGATGCCAAAGGTACCGGAGGACATAATACAAGTGCTCATAGAAAACTAACCCTCTATGTATAATAGCAGATATTACATCACTAAACATTCTAAATTAGGAGCTCAACTTTTATTTCACTAAATTCCTTGGAAGAAAATTTTAAATAAGGCACCAAATTACGCTAAAGGAAAGAAACGTTCTCAGCTGGCTCTAAGACAGTAAAGTGTAAAGAAGAGACAAAGATTAAGTCAGGAAAAGGGGAACGTGTGTGGTTTTTAAAGGACCACAAGTGCATGATTCACAGTGGCCTTATGCACAACAGCTGTTCCAAACACCCCCCACCCCCACCCCACCCCCCCGCTGCACGGAGAGACCGCTCCCCTGCAACATGACATCTGTCACTAAGTGTGCAGGCGACGCAGCAGGTAAAAGACCCCACGTCTCACCAACCAGATGCCGGCAGAGCCCCCGGAGCGCATGTGTTCTCCACCCTGAGCAGAACACGTCCCACTTTCAACGAAGTCGTCTGCTGTACCAGCAAACATCCAGGATCGCCAAAGGAGCATAAAAAACCACTCCATTTAAATTAAAACACCGAGAACTCTCCTGGTCTTTCCATCCACTTGCCAAGGGCTCATTAAAGAGGTCAAGCAGAGCTTCCAGAGAGACGCACGATCCCACCCCTGCCGGCCAGTTCGCGCCCCAGGGAAGCGGGCCGGGGAGAGCTGGGACTGCTAACGTTCCAGAACGGAGCCCACGAAATACAGAGAGCACAGATGCAATGGAAACATCACGGGCCAGAAATGCAGCTGGGATTCTGACAAAGTCCTTAACCACACAGGTGCCCGCGCACACGTGAGCAGACGAGCGGGGTGGACAGAAAGCTCCTCCGCTGTGCCGAGTGGCCCGTGCCCCGCTTGGACGTGCCAGCCCGCCTCAGCTCACGGGCCTCCGTTCAGCACCGCGCCGCCACTCAGGATAGACGCCCCGCTCTCACAGAAGCCGACCCCAGCAGGTCAATGCCCTGTGGCCTCGGACCTGCTCTCCTCTATCTGTCGTTACCGCCACAATTTTACAATGCTTTACAGATTATTCAATGAAGTCTGTGCTCCGTCAGTTTCTAGGGTCCAAAATGCAAAGGGGCTACGTCTGTCCTGCTCAGTGTCACGTTCCCAGATTCACTACAATTCTTACCACACGATACACTTACAGTCTTTTGTTGAAGAAATGAACTACTGCGTAAGAAAGCATTTCAAATAGGCATGAAAAAAAGCCTTCCTGTAGCTACTAATATATCTAAAAATTAATTTTTTTCTCAAAAAATGACAAAGTTGGAGAATTAGAAGGCTAAGAAATGAAATAAAATCTCTACAAGATAAAAAAAAAGGAGACAGGCATGTCATCGTAATGTGATGACGAGTCCTTGTGAATCTGAAACTTATTTTACTGGAGCTCATTTGCTTTTATTTGTCAAAGTCTACACTTCAAAACCTTAGAAAGACGCCTTTTTAAAACCGTGTTCTCGTCGTGTGGGCTGGCGCCGGGAGAGTCTGGCTGCGGGGCACAAGGCCATGAGCTAGGCAGGTCCCCGCACAAGCGGCGGGGGGCAGCTTTGGGACGGAGTCCTGAAAATGCCCACGCGCATCAACATATGGCACCCTGTCTATCTGAATGAGACGACTCACTTTTACTCCTCAGTCGGCAGAACGACTAACTGGTGGGTAACTCTAGAGCGGATCTGTATCCTGGACGGAGAGACGAGCGCGCGTCCCGGGGGGCAGAACACGCCGCTGACACACCAGTCAGGAAAAAAGACGGGCGCCTTCCCTCCTGCGACCGGGGCACAGCCCTGCGACTGGCTCCCGGATCACGTCCCTGGTGCTGACGGGCCGGCTGCATACCTGAGGAGTTCAGGGTCGCGCTCTGGGCGAGCAGCTGGTCACTGCTTATGGTTAGGGTGGCGCCGGCGGACTGACCACTGGCAGCAGGAGCTGAGAGCCTTATGCTTCCGTTCACTTCACTACTTCCATTAGCATTGTGCTGAATAAGATCTTGACCTAAATGGAAATTAATATTGTGATATCTGAAAGTAACACGTTAGGTCACATCCCGGCAACAGGTTAAACATAAAATAACATGCTATTAAAATGAAAGCTGTTTCATTTATGGTAATATTTACAGAAAAGAATGAAAAGACCATGAAACACACTTCCCCTAAATGCCACTATTTGTTCACACTCTCCAAGCTGTAAAGCATTTTGAAGTGCTTCTCAAGAGCTCTACTTTGCCTCAGTATTTAGGCACTTAAAATTACAAACTTTGTTGAACAGAACTTACGGCAAACGTGTGTTTAAGTGGATCGCAGGGACACGATAAAATGGCGCCCGACCCTCCCCTGACCTCCCACCGCCGGCGCTCGAGGAAGCAGCGACGCTGCGGCTCCTGGCTGAGGCTCCCCGCACCACGGCCCTCGGGGCTCACACGTGCTTGGGGTGCACGCCCACTGGGGGGCACTGGCCTTCGGTTCTAAACCTGCACACGCCAGCTTCGGTAGCCACAGCGATCACATGCTGTAGGGAAACATGCACGGGAGAACTGGACAGTCTGCTGACGTGTCCACGGAACCCACACTGAATGCTTCGGGAAGACTGGACACAAACAAGTTACCCTAAAAAAAAATCTACTGTCAAGTTAGGCTTAAGCGAGACAACTCTGCGAACTGGAGGGAAAAGCATCAAAAGGCAGAAGGACGCTGCCCTTGGCTGTTTCATCAGCGGCATCCTCACACCGCTCTACAGAAACAGAAAGGGGACAGCAGCTGTGCGTGCCGGGCACGGGCAAAATGGAAAAGGCAGAACTCTGATCAGCACAGCAGACCCGTCTTCAAAAGGCCTGTGGATGAAGGGTCAGAGTACGTGGGGGACCACTTTTTTGATCCTCTGCTGAAAACTGCCTGAGACATCAGATAAGAGGGCTTTGGTATAGAGGAACTAGATCATTTGGGAGCCTGAGCACTATTTTTGCCTTTTACCCAATGTTCAGTTTCTTTCTCAAATGACCTCTGAACTGCTAAAAGTCCACAAAACTTCACTGATGTAATAATTGTTTCCTAACATGGACAAACGTGTATAATTATACACACTAATGGAAAAAAGAACTTCCTACAAAATAACTGAAAATCCTACCTAGACGCTTTCAACAAGTGACCATAAATAGAAAGTCTTTCTCCTACAGCCTTTTCAGCACGGAGTAAGGAAACGCTGCCGTGTGAGTTGCCAATTCCCATGAGCACAATAATGACGACTGAGAACAAGAAGTCTCAAGCCCAAGGTTTGGGCAAACCCCGTGTCATCAACTGGCTTAAAGATTTCTCCGAGGATAAACCTTTATAGCTAATTTTTTTTAAAAAATTGGTTAAATTCGTCTCCTTACTGTTTTGAAAATACTGATAAGTAATAAAATAACTTCATGATCAAGAACAGGAAAACACAGAAGGAAGAGTAGCACGATCCAGACGCTAAGTAACACACGGTCTGAGCCGTCAGCAGGGCCCCTGCAGGCCGGGCCTGTTGTGCAGGACTAGCACAGTGCCTCACATACTGAGGGCAGTCAGGAAAAGTGAACTCGCTCAACAAGCAAGTTCCTTAAAATAAAAAAAGTATTAAAACTCAGATATATACAAAGAACCCAGGAAGGCAATTGGATTATGTAAAATTGAAAGTTAATGTTTGCTGCCTAATAGCATCTAAAATCACTCCATGTCACTCAAAACCAAAACTCCATCCAAGAACAGGTTCAAGTTTGTCACATGCAGTAAAAGAAATAAAGACACTCCCTAAAAAAGAAAGCTTTTCGTTTCCTTCTGAATAACTTTTCTACTGCACTCACATATTTTGCAGAAATCTCCCTGAAACGCGAGTCTATTCACCTGGCCTGCTCCCCTGGCCGGGTCGGTCCAGGAGTCTGCCCACCACTACTCCCTGTGTTTTAAGGGAAAATGCTCCCACGTCCACCATGAAGCTCCCTCTTCCCCAGCGACAGTGTCCTGCCTCCTAGCAAAACATTTTTCCTGTCTTTAACAACCACCTCATAAGGCTGCTGTGAGGCCTAAATAAATTAGTATTAAATGCGTCAATATTTGTAAAAATACTAGAATAGTGCCTGGCACATAAGGGCCACAAAAATTATTGCTACATTTACCGAACAGCTAGGAGTCACGTGGGCAAAGCACACCGATAAAATATGCTGCAGGCTGAGGTAGAGGAGAACGTGCTGGGAGAATTAATGACACCGGAGGACAATCTGACCGCGAGCGCAGCCGTCTCGACACGTAGGACTGGTTTGCCGAGTTCAAGGCACCTGCACACCCAGAGGGTACTTTCTACCTGTTCACAGACTTCCCAGTGCCTCAGAGCACAGCTTGTGCAGGACCCCGGGGAGGAGCGGAGGCATCTAGAAATGTGTCCGCGCACACGTCATCCCAGCCACACGCCTCCAGTTTAGCGGAGCAGGAACACGGACGAAGAAGCTATGTAGCCCGCTCTCCGTGGACCAGGTCAGTGTGTCAGGACAACAGACTCAAGCTGGAGGACAGGAGTAACTCTCCCTGTTAATTTCTGGTATTTGAACTGTGACACTATTTCACTAAACCTGAATTTCCCACATTTATTACAAATGCATATTGAGCACTGGCTGTATGCAAAACTCTGTTTTGCAAAAACAAACAAACAAACAAATAAACACACATACACATATGAATAAGATATACTCAAATCGCAGGGAAAAGCAGGTTTAAAATGTGAAGTGACTAACCAGAGATGGTCAGGGTGATTTCCTGGGGAGACCCTGAGGATGACGCAGCGGTGGGCCCGGCAGCCTGCGCCAAGACCTGGCTCAGACTTGAGTTGTTAATGGTCAGGGTGATCTCGTGGGGGCCGCTGGAGGTGGACACCAGGCCTTGCGATGTCATCACCTGAGAGAGGTCTTGAGTCCCTGGTCATCATTACAAAACAAAATAAAGCTGGGCTTAAAAAAATAGTAATTTTCTCCTTTTTTATATTAAAAATGTTTAGTGAGACAGTTATTTCAAAAGAAGATTCAAAAGAAGACATCAGTCATCTCTAATTCCCTCCTGCAGAGAGATAAGAGAGGCTTACGCTGAAACCGGAAGCCAACAGGACCACGGGAACAGGTGCGGGTAGCGATCTATGAGCGTACGGTGAGTAGACATCACTTGTCACCGGGGAAGCTTGGGTACACTTGGGACATTTGATGTGTTTGCTGAGCTTCCCAAGGACAGAAGGGGCAGCCCAGTGTCCTCAGTGCACACGGCGCTCACTTACCACTGCTGCTGGTGGTCATCACAGGGTCCTGCTCAGACAGCGGGCCGATGGTCAGACTGGCGGACGTCACGGTGGGCTGTAAGGACAGGCCAGGGATGGGCTGGATGACGACACTGGCTGGGACCGTGCTGTCCTGGGTCTGAAGAGAGCTGCTCTGTGAGGCCAGGCCGGGCTCCCCCGGCAGCTGCTGAGTAAGCAAGTTGCCCTGCTGTAACGTTTGCTGCAAAATAGTTGGGTCAATCTGCAAAGCAACAGAGATACTCGTCGTGGGAAGTTCTTGCTTACGTGCGATTCTGACCACATCGAAGCCCGGGATGCCATGGCACGCGTCGTACCTGCAGCGTGATGTTATTAATGCTGGAGGCATCGATTCCAGAGATCTGAACGTTGGGGCCGACTAGGTTAGCGGCCAACTGTAACTGTATGCCCTCCAGGGTGGTCAGGCTCCCATCCGTCAGGGACACTGTCCAGTCACCGCCGGCTGCAGGGAGAGACAATGCAGATGACTGCCTTTGGAAAAGCTCCTTCGACAGGAAAGAAGCTCATTCTCACGTAGGGCTTTTTATATACCCAAGTCCCACACCTCGCCAACATGATCTAGTCACAGGTACTAATAATTACTCCACGCCATACACACACCTTAGCTGATTCAGCGCAAAACAAATTCTCTGAAATAGATATTATCCATCTTAAACACACCCGGAAACTGGGCTCAAAGAGATTATGTTGATTAGCCCAAGAGTTAAAACAGCAATGAATAATCGTGTTTTTTCAGGCTTTAATCACTCCACGGGTCACATACACAGAAAGAAAGCCACAGGACATGTCTGATAGCTAGAATCAGTCACTCTGTCAATCCACGAAACACATAAATGGCCAAAATGTATACTTTTCAAGCACAAGGTGACCCAAGAGCAGTTAGCGAACTCTCCCATGTTATCTACACTGTTCATGAGGAGTTATCAAGCACATCTCACTGTGAAGTCCGTGGGAGGATGCTGAGAAAAACACACATTTAAACTCAGTAAGAAAAAGCAGATGTCGTGAAAGGAGAAGGAATGGAAGGGGAACTCATCTGCACAATGAGATTTTAGTCTTCCCAGCTGCCCTCTATGGGGAACTTCCAAGGAAGACACAAGTCGCCCAGCTCCCAGCAGCGTGCCCCCAGCAGACAGGCAGGCGGTGTCCGCGCCCTCAGGGCCCCCTCCCCAGTGCCCCGGGCTCACCGGACACGGAGGCAGGAAGAATAGCCTGGCCCACCAGGCCTTGCTGAAGTACGTTTTGATCGAACTGTCCCGTGAGAACAGAGTTGTTCATGATGAACACGTTGGGGTCGGTGGACGTCGGACTGAGCAGGTTCACGGGCTGCAGTCCCTCCGAGGAGCTTCGAGTCACTGGCTTCCGCGCCTTCTTGGGGTCGGGCTTATAATGGAACTGCATGTGAGTCTTCCTCCGCCCCGACGTGCGGAAGCGCAGCTCACAGTGGGGACACTTGAAAGGCTTCGCTCCTGTGTGCAGACGCATGTGCACCTTCAGGCTTCCCTTCGTCGAGAAGGCGTTGCTGCAGACGTGACAGCTGAAGAGCTTCTGACCTGTGGGGAGTCCAGCCATGGGTCAGCGGGGGCCGGCGGGGTGCTGACCCCGGGGGCCCGAGCACTTGAAGGGAGCCCCGTGCTCCCACAGGACGCCCTGCAAGGGACAGAGTGCTGCTACACAGACTCTGAAGTGAGTAGGCGGTCTACAGGGTGAGCCCGGCGCTGTCCCCGTGCTCAGATTCTGCGGCGCGTGGGCACCGCTGCCCACCCTGAACCTCGGCGGAAGCTGAGGCCAGCGTCCCCGTGCCTCAGTGCAGAAAGGGCACACGCGTGTCTCGGCAGCTGTCTCTCACACCCGCACAGGGGGACAGCGCCCTGGGGCCACAGGTGTGCATCACACGTTCAGCCCCGGGGACTCTGCGCTTTTCCTGTGTCCAGGGCATGATGAGGGCCGTGGAGCTGGACCTGAGTGCCCTGTCACCCACCTACTCTGCCCCAGAGAGGCTCTGGGAGGACAAAAGCATCCTGGTTTTCTGTTTCCCTCTACTGCTCCCAGAAAGCAAAACTGACTCTTATTTACCAGGGTGGGCACACGGGGACTCACCCCAGGCGAGGGAGGCCTGCTGTCCCAACCCTGCCCAGGGGCCTCAAAGGTCACCCGAGGAGCCCAGCGTGGAGGAGGAGGCCTGAAAGGTATTCCTCACAGAGACTCTTCCTTCTGTTCCTTATGCGTGGGAGCCAGCCCTGAATCCTGCGTCTGCGAGTCGTCCTGAACACCACCGGCACCGGCCGTGCGAGCGACCACCCCCCACCGGACCTGGGATGCCGAGCGGACCCCTCCTGGTCCTCGGCAGCTCACGGCGTCACACAAGATAGACAGACACATGGCACCTAACAAAGTGACAGAAACACTTCCCACAGAAGAGACAAACTACATTTACGTATCTGTTTAATTCCAAATATTGACCTATCAGAAAACAATCATACGGCTTTACATAAATGTGTAAAATTTCTTTTGTGTATTTTTGGTCAGTTCTGCCAGTAACCAAAAATTAGGAATAGAAATTAGTTTGATAACCATAATCCTCTACCATTTCCTAAGAGTTCACCACGTGCCACTTTCTAAGCGATAACTGGAGGCTCAGAGAAGTGGCTCGGAAGTGGACACACACCTCCAACCTGGCAGACGTGTGAAGCCTGCCCCCCTAACCACTGGGATGCCCCGTGCACATCAAGAAGCAAAGCCTCAATATATTTTCACTAGGACAGCTCACCTTCAGTTCCCTCAAATGAGATCAAGGGGAAAAAGTGGCCGTTGAAAACTGGACGTTAATATTTTTCCTTTATAACATTTCCCCCCCACATAAAAAGAATTATTACCTGTGAACTGTAATGAGATTTGCTAAATCCCCAGATCTTGTAAAACCTCAACAAGCCAAATCTTTTTGGCCTAAATGAGACTAAGGAGTAATTTTCTTAACAAAGGTGTTCAAATCTGAATAAAAATACAAGACAACCTATAGCCTGGCATCTGAGATCAAGCTCCTTCTCCTCAGTGTTATCTGGGTCATATCCCCCAAGTCAGGAATCAAAAATCCTTATATACCCATTTCTCCGTGGCTCAGGATTTTTAATCTTTCTATGGTTTTGAAAGTATTTCTGTGGGCAAGATACACAGGAACAAACCTCAAACGCCCTTGCAAGGCCCCTGCGTATGACACAGCCACTGTCCTTACCTGTGTGGGTCTTCACGTGGCAGTCCAGAGTCGACTTAACGGTAAAGCTCTTCCCGCATTCGTCACATTTGTATGGCTTTTCTCCAGTGTGGATCCGAACATGCCTAGCCAGAAAGCATTTGCAATGAAGTGATTTTCAGTTTAATTTTACATACATTGACAAACAACCTCATAACTATCCGCATAAATGAAAATTATGTGTTAGTACAGGCTGAATACATTTGGCCACATAAAACCTTTAATCTTCGCTCTACACAAAACACCACAAACAAATCCAGGAGAAAACAAACAAGCAAAGAAGTCTGCAAGACCAGTGAAAGCAGGGGCTTTCTTTAAAACCAAAGAGCGCTTATGAATTGGTAAGAAGATGAGAAGGATCACAGTGGAAGGACGGGCAATGCACAGCTTAGAGAAGAAACACACGCGGCCAAAGCCCCGTGAAAGGGTCCGGCCCGTACTCAGCACCTAAAAGGGCAAATTAAAAGGGTAAGAGAGCATTTCCCTCATCCGTGTGCTGAGGGCGCAGTCGGAGTGGTTGGGGAGCATTGAGAGGCCAGCGGGCATAAGTGGTACAGCCCGTCGGGAGGCCAGCAAGCGGCATCTGCCAACACTGGCCCCACGCTCCCACGGGTGCACGCAGAAGCACTCAGCGCGGTGCCCACGCGGGACTCGTGCGGGACTCTGCGGCGGTCGCGCGCTGCTCGTGTAGTACTTGGGTAGTGCTCATGCGGTACTCACCCGGGGCAAGGGCCGTGCTCGCGCAGTACCCGTGCAGTAATCGAACACAGAAAGCTAAGTGCTCATAGCGGGGTATTATGGGATAAATTTTAGTATCCCCCGAGAACAGAACACGATGTCACCATTAACAGGAAAGAAATGGGTGTGCAGGCACTGACAAAGATGTCTAAGACCCAGTGATGTGCAAAAATTATGCAACAAATAAAATTACAGAACTTAACGCTGACACACATGTGGACATTTCCCAAAACCGTACCTAAGAAACTGCTGACTGGCTGTCTGTGGGGAGCAGGAAGGACCATTTTTCACCTGACGGCCTCCCGTGCTATGCTTCTGTTTTGCTTTGCTTCCCTATGATCTCTGCCCGGTATCAGCAGGACAGGCTGAGCTGCCCACGACTTTTAAATGCAGGACGGAACGAGAGGATCAATCAGCTGTGAGGCTGCCCGGCACTCCTTGCTGTTAGGCATCACTCTCCATGTCGTGACGCAGAGGCGTTCATACGTGCCGACAGCCAAGCGGCTTCTCGCCTCTGCCCTGTGTCCTGGCGGGCTACCCCTCGGCACTGTCCATAGGCCCAGAGCCTCGCAGGGGTCTGACGTGCTGTGTGGATCCCCGCAGCGCTGCCTCCATCACCTCCGACTGGCAGCCCTGGCCCTCAGGGCATTCTCGTCGGGGATTCCCACCAGCCCCTCACGCTGATCTGGCTCTCCCCACCAGCTGCCCTGTATGCTCCCCTCCTGGCGCCCCTCCTGCCAGGTTGCACTCCTACCAACAAAGCTCCCCAATTCCTTCATCAAAGCGCCTAGCGCTCTCCTGGCCATATGCTTTGCTGTCTTACTCCCGGCATCGACTGCACCCCTCACCTCAGGGGGTGCCCGGGAGGGACACTGCTGGCTCCCTGTGGACTCTAATCCCCGCTCACCCACTTCACCATCACCCTCACCGGCATACTTCCCTTCCCATGTGGGAAGAAGTGTGCAGGCTAGCTGTCACCTTCTACAGGCTCGCTGGACATGCACTTCCAACCCGGGAGCCACTCTGCCACCAGCCTCGGTCCCACCCACGTGGAGGGTCCTGAGAGCAGCCTGCTCCATCACCCACCACGAAATCCCAACTGCTCTCCCCTGCGCTATGCCGCCCTACACCTTCACCCATCAGCTCCCTGCTAGAGCAAACACTAAGTACCCTGTTTTGTACCGCAGGACAACGCTTTACCTCCCACTTCTTTCTCCCAGGCTCAGCCTCAGGGTCCGGGGTTCTAGTTCTTCACCGTCCTGCTGGACTTGACCTCACGCCAGTCGCTGCTGTCAGGCGGACTGGCCTTAATCACAGGCTGCCTCATGACACTGTCACCATCCACCCTGGCGTGTGCTTGTGCCCTTGCTCCCTACACAGACCAGCCCTCCCGGGGGTAGCAGGTCCCTGATGCAGTCCGCAAACCTACACAGCTTAGCACCATGTCGTCCTCAATAAATAATTCATTTTCTTTCTTTTTTCTTTTTTTTTAACCTGCAGTAGTCCCCCTTATCCACAGGAATATGTTCTGAGACCCCCAGGGGATGCCTGAAAGCACGGATGTACCAAACCCTATGTATACTGTTTCTCCTGTACATACACGATAGTTCTCATGAGGCCGAATTTCTAAATTAGGCCCAGGTAAGAGACTAACTACAACGACTGACGATTAGGTAGAACGACCATAACACCACGCTGTGATAAACGTCAGGTGAATGCGCTCTCTCCCTGTCACAGCACGCACCGGACTCCCCCCCACCATCTTCCGGGGGGAAGAGATGACGAAACACCTGCGTGAGGCAGAGGTAGGCCACCACGACCTTGTCACAAAGGTCAGGAGGACGGCCCACTCAGGGGACGGACAGACACCGCGGATAAAGGGGCCTGATCCCAGCACAGCCGTTCAGACTTGCGCACAAGCCATCTACGGAGCGCACTGCTTTCTCATCAACATTCCAAATGAGCCTGAATGGAAGCCCCAGAATCTACGCCGGCTTAAAACCGCCGCTGCAGAAACTGGCCAGCCTCTCGGGAGGCACCAGCCTCCAAAGCGGGCCTCCCTAGCCACGGCAAAATGGTCGAGATGCACACGGACGCTCCCGCAAACGCCGAGAAGGGCACCGGCGGTCTCACCTCACTAGGTCGCTGGGCTTCTTGAAGCTCTTGGGGCAGTACGAGCAGCAGTTAGCGTACTTGGGCTCAGCCTCCAGCTCCGCCTGCCTGTCCTTCATCTCGCTGATGCGGTCCTTCTCGGCCGCCGACTGCACCAGGACCTGCTCGGAGACGGTCGCACTTTCCTGCGGCCGAATCTTCGCTAACTGCGCCGTCTCCTCCTCCGTGAAAGTGATGACCTCGGGACGAGCCTTTCGAGATGCACTTCTTTCAGAATTCTCTTCCTCTTCCTCCATACACACATCTAAATAAAACACAGGAAATGGATCCAATCCTCATAAAAAATTAAGTTTTCACGAAACAAGTAAAATGAAACCAAACAAGTCTGTAGGGTTTGAAGTGAGTTACTCGGTGAAGCTCTCTTTGGGACAAAGGCGTTTCCTTTGCACCGCTAGTCCATGGGGAAACCGAGATGGGTCCCCAGAAGGGAGAGGCACCGTGGTCACCTCATCACAACAGCGCCTCCCTGAGGCTCCCTGACCAGCCCGGCAGACAGCTCCGAAATCACCAGCATCCACACACGACACCAGCCTTCGTAAACACAGACACTCGCTGACTAATACGGGCAAAAGCGGAATTACCATCACATAAAGAAAATCAACAGCCCGACAGAAGACCAAGGTGATAAATTTGCAAAAAGGCCCTAATTAGTTACCAAAAAAAACCCTTAAAATATATACATTTAAGCGTTCTCTCAGTGAGACATGAGGATATATTTACACTGATTGAAAACAAGAATAAGGTGCGATTAAAATCTAACAGAAGGAAAAAAAGTTGGCTGGGAGTGGGAGGTCAGAATGGCATAGATGAGTAAAAACTAAAAGAATAAAACCTCGACAGAAACACCACCTAGCCAAATGGACAGGGGCTAGCACCACTTTCATGACAAGAGCTACGGGGTGTTTCTGTTAGGATAAAGGGAGAACGATGGGAGGGAGGGAAAGAAGGAGAGAAGAAAAGAGAGGGGCCGAGGAGGGGAGAGGGAAGGTGGGCTGTGGAGGAGAGAACAACATCCGGAAAGATTTGGGGCCGTGGGGTACAGACAGTGGCCCCATCAGCACGGATAATGAAAGGTGGAGAGAAAGTCCCAAGAACCCAATCGATATGGCGAAGCCACGGGAGGACAAAGGGCAGTGAAACGGAGCACAACAGACAGAAGACACAGAACCGGACGGTGTCGGGCCAGACTCACTGTCCCAACACACGTGACTGAGGTAGACCCTAGGGTGGGAAGCCAGCGCATCAGCTGCTCTTCCTCAGGGGCCCCAGAGAGGAAGACCTCATGACAGACTGTGTGGAGCTAACACATAGGTAGCAGAGGGGCCAGGCCGCCACAGGAGCCCCCCAGCCGACGGGAAGGAACAGGGGCTCAGACCCGGAGGCTGCTGCATCAGCTCCACACCACGGGGTTCCAGAAACAGTACGCGGTGCCCTACGTCCTGTAACTCACTGCAAGGAGAAGAGTCCTTATTCTCTCCTTGTCCTTCACTCGTCACATGACCAAAGTGGAACAATGAGACTGAAAAGTTGGCGCCACGTCATGACAGAGTCCAAGAGGTCGGAAACATCGACGTTCAGAATGACCCACTGAGGAGCCCAGAGCAGCATCTGCTCTGCTGTGGAGACGTCAGTTTTTACGTCTGAGGTTAGGCACATTTTAAAGACGTTTTCCCCAAATACAAGAACAAGCTACAGGGCCGTCCCGTCAGCCGAGCGCAGCGGAGACAACCGTGACCTTGAGGCCAGGTGAGCACAGAGCACACGGGGGTGAGCAACGGGGACAGAAGCCAACGAGCCGCCAGCCTTCTGACGGCTGCGAGCACGCCAACTGACACTCACACCCCAGCTGCGTCACGCTCACTCCACGAACATCCCGCACCAACCGTGTGCACACAGGCCTCACACTGTGGATGGACCACCGTCGGGCGACAGGGCTCAAATGCTGTGTGGTCCAAACAGACAGCAGCACATTCCCACTCCCGGCATTGCACCCGCGGGATGTGCTAAAGAAAGGTCACCTCCGACACACACAGTGCTCTTCCCAGGAGGACGGCCCCTACTGGGAGCAAGGGGCGCCCATCGGCGCGTCTGACCCCGAGCCAGCCACACGGTGCTTCGTGTCGACGAGCTGAGGTACCGCAGTGCACCCACAGGCCAGTGGAGGGGTGCAGCCCTCCCTAACTGCTGGCTCCTGCTGGCTCAGGGAGAGACCCGGGCAGAAGGCACACGTCCATCCAGAGGGAATTACGGAACAGAATACGACGGGCTTCCACGGAGCCCTTGGACCTGACGTCCGCGACAGACCCCAGCGGAGGGAAAACTGAGGGGATCGCAGCCACCACGTACAGCCCGAATCCCTGCTTGTCGAGAAATTAATGTCTCGACCACCACACGTATGTGCACGGCTACACGCACGTTCTGGGGTGCGGTGACTGGTGAGATGGTTTCCTTCTCTGCCCTCTCTGAATCCTTTCCCAGAGAGCACACACTGTCATAATCAGAAAGTAAGCTAGTTTTAACGATGACGTGTGCACTAATCCATCCCTACACGAGCATCTGGTCACTGAGCCTCGAATCAACACGGGGCAGTACCTCCTCCTTCCGCGTCCCCCGTGGCGGACACAGCAGAGGGGACGGCCTGGTGCCTCTTCATGTGCTTCTTACAGTGCACTGTGGTCCGGAAGCCCTGCTCACAGAATGGACACTTGTAGGGCTTCATGCTCATGTGCGTGGCCATGTGCCGCGTGAGGCTGCCGTTGGTCGTGAACGAGGCGTTGCAAACACTGCAGCTGAACGCCTTTACCCCTGTGGCAACGGAAACAAGAGCAAAATCCACATTTCATTACGTTAAAGTCATCGGCAGTCGAAAGCAAACAAAGATTTGTTCGAGAAGCCACAAAACTGAAGACCGTTTATTTGCCCTGGTCTTATTTTAGGAAATGGACGCAGCGTGTCTTACGACTAATTCCCTACTGGAATTAAAGGCACAAGAACATTGTTCTAAACAAATGCCAAGCTCTCTCTGTGAGAGCTCCCTCCTCCGTCTTTGACATTCCAGCTGGCAACATGCAGTGGATTCTGCCCTAGAAAGGTTTTCTCAGATCCATCTTCTTTCACCATTCCACAGCCAGTGACGCGGGAACTGCCTACAACACCTGAGTACAGCTTCACTTCCAAATCAGGCCCGCCAGGAAGGCCCTGTCCGCTCTGGACTGAAGACACAGAGGCACCTGACTGTCTAAGCACCTCGCTGACCAGCCACGGCTCCTTGTCCAAGTCACACGGGCTCCCCTCTGCTACAGGGAGTGCTGACTCCTTAGCAGGGCCTTCCAACCAGCCTTCGCGGGACCTGCCCTCCGCCTGTCTTCCCAGGGCCTGTGACCACCAACTGTGACTAATCCTACAAAGCCTATCCTTGTTCTGTCAGTATGTTTTTATGTTCAAATAAAGCCTTATACAGAAAACACTGATATTAAACAGATACATTAATATATGAAATAAACATACTGAATTTATTCAACAGACAAAAGTAACATATGTAAAATATATTTAGCTGCAAATCATATATCTGATAAAGAATACATTAAAAACTCTTTAAAAAACTGAACAATAAGATTGCAAATAATCTAATTCAAAAATGACATAGGAGTAGAAGAGCTGCTTCTCAAAACGCACATGAAAAGGAGCTCCGCATCCTTAGCCACTAGAGAAATGCAAATGAAGCCCAGGAATGGATACCATGGCACACTCCTAGGGATGGTCATGGTACAAGGGACAAACAACAGCAAGTGCTGACCAGAGTGTGAAAGGGGCACCCTAGCTCATTGCTGGTGGACAAGCGAAACAGTGTAGCCACTTGGGAAAACAGTCTGATCAACTCAAAGGCTTAAACAGTTACCCCATGACCAAGTCATTCAGTCTTAAATGGAGAAATGGAAACACGTCCACGTAAGCTGCACATACATGTTCATAGCAGGATGATTCCCATGAGCCTAAAGATGGGAATTACTCCCACGTCCAACAGCAGATGATGGAGGAAGGAAAGGGGGTCCACCTCTACCGTGGAATACTATTCCGCTCCACAAGGGAGTGACGTGCTGCCTACATCTGGAAGAACCCCGGACACGTGCCCAGTAAAGGAAGCTGGAGCTGTGTGTTTGCATGTAAACGGAATGTACAGAACGGGCCGATCCAGAGATGGCAGCAGACTTCTGGCTGCCTAGGGCGGGGGCCAGGAGGGAAAACGGGGAGTGAGCACTCACAGATACAAGAGCTGCTTCTGGCTATGATGAAAATGGTCTAGAAGGGGGTGGTGCTGATGGCTGCAGCCCGTCATCAACACCCTGGATCCCAAAAACTCCCCAGAGCAAGGCAGACAGTGACCTGTGTGTGTCTTCTCGTGCGACTTGAGGACCCCAGAAGAGACAAAGCCGCGTCCACAGAGCTTGCACTTGTAGGGCTTCTCCCCGGTGTGGGACCTCACGTGCTGCTTCAGGTGGCTGGACTTCTTAAAGCCTTTGTTGCAGTACTCACACCTATAAACACAGCGCGGAGAGCAAACGCCACGTCAGTTCACAGCACGAGCACGAGCGTGACCTCTGAGACCGGAGGAAGAACAGTCTCCCCCATGATCACTAAACAATCAGGCGTGACTGTTACACACACAGGCGTGTGCTCCAACGTTGAAGAAATGACGGAATAGCAGCAATAATAATTTGTCAGATCAAATTCTGCTCAGAGTATCTGTAGTCTTAAACATATTTTGTTATTTCATTATCAGTAAATCCTACAGCAATCCCCCAGGAGGCATACTACCTGATTAATCAGAAACTAACAGGAAAAAAATTTACTACAGACTGTTTTCTTTACTAAGTCGTATAAGACGCTGTGAAACCGTCCACTGCCTCAGGGTCAGAATCACCTCCTGAGTCCAGACACTTGGCAATGCCAATTCATATACTCTTTAGGTTTATAAAATACATGACAAAGCAGATTTTCCTAGAGCTATTTTGAATAATGTGTAAATGTACAGCATCATTTTCCCCTAAGTTACAGAATATATTAAAATTACTTCAAGGATGAAATAATTATGAAATATTTCAAAATTCTTATTCACATATTATTAAAAACTAAAAAAAGGATTTGGAACCCTTTTCCGTTTCCCTGTCTGAAGCTGCAGCAGGACGTTAGTCACATTCCAAACCACCGTCTCTGGGACCAGGTATCTGCACAGAGCAGCTAACAGTCCGCTAACGGCCATGCCGAACTGAAGACCGACAAACTGGAAACACATTTCGAAATCCCACTCCATGATACAAGCTGGGTTCAGTGAGGGTACCCATTAAAAAGAGAAAGGCAAGCCAACGGCACTCATCGACTGATCTGAGAAAGATAACGCTGCAAACGAAGCTGGGATTGGTTCTGGTCTACACAGCAGCAGGAGAAAATCATCTCTTTGCAGAACTGAGTGCATCAAACTGAACCGTTGGAGGTTTGCTGTGAAAGGTCCTCTCGGGTCACATCTATGAACTGAAAGCAACCAGCACTGCCAGGACGACACCACCAGAGCTGTGGAGTCACAGGCACCCTCAGAGGACAGTCTGAAGCAAGACTGTCCCCACCTGGCCCCGGCCGGGCTCCCACCCAGGACCAGCTCCGTCCACGGAGACGGGGCCCTTCTCTGCCTCCGACACGCTGCTTCCTTTCTCCCCATGGATGACCCCTGCCCGCTCTGCCGACCACGCAGCTGTTCTCCCGAAGTGTCCAAGGACAACCTGGATGACAGAAGCCAACCATGAGGACGCGCTCGCCCTGGGAGAGCTGCCTCGCCGGGAGTGTGCACGGCCTGCGGGTGCTCTGTCGCGGTGCAGGGGCCACGCAGGGCGGCGAGGGGACAGCCCAGCTGCCAGGGGCAGGGTCCACAGAAAGAGCTCCTCTGGAGCCGTGTGCCCGGGAAGCACATCTCAGGGAGCTTTGCTATTCTCTGCTTTTGTCATAATAATGAGGCAAAGGTAAAAAATATAATGAAATCATAGGCTGCCGGTTCCATGTTTCTTAATGTCTTGGGGGAGGATCCCTGACCTCCTTGCGAGTCCTATGAAAGTGACACACCACCTCCAATAATAAAACTATTAAAATATTATGAAGCCAAGACTATCTCAATAAAGACAATACGCATCTTGCTTCTTATATGACGCACAAAGTCGTATCCAGTTTTGTAAAACTACATGCATCTTATTCGCTGTGAACGTGCACGCCCTAGCGCGAGCAGGGCAAGAGTCTATCCTCGTCCACGCGTCCAGGGCACTGCAGGCACGCTGAGGGCGCACAGTAGTGCCACTGAACGGACAGGTGCACGAGGATGAACAGGTGGACTTAAAAACTGTCTCTGCAGTCATGGTGCACCTTGGTTGTTATGCATCAAGCCTACAAAGAACCTTCAACAACAGGCACACAGTAAATTTCAGTTATTTCTGAAAACACGGTAACAGGACGCCACGACTAAGCAGGTTAAACCTATAGGCTGCGGCCTCCCACTTGGTCCTGTCACTAACTAGCTGCAGAAATCTTAGCAGGTGAACCTCTCTTGTCTCAGATTCTTTAATCATAACAAAATGCGGATAAGAGCGGACCCGTTCACAGCGTTTCTGAGAGAGGCAGATCGCAGAGGCCCGGCAGGGGGAAGCACACACTGGGCACAGCGGTCCGGCCAGCAGCGCTGCGGCGTCGAGCTGTGCAGACGGCTACCTGTAGGAGCGCCGGCTCTGGTCCTCCCTGTCCTCCAGGAATTGGGGACGCTGAGTCTGCAGCTCCAGTTCCTCTTGGGACGACTCTTGGATCAAACGCGTTGTCTAAAATTTAGAAGTATAAAGCAGACTACCTGAATATCTATAAATAAATGCAAAACAATGAACAACTAAGGATAAGAAATTTATAAATGCAGATTCAAAGGAGAAACTCCACGTAGCTCATTGTAAGCATTTGGCTAGATTAATAATAAAAATCATTCATACCAATTTTATTAAATACTTATTTACTTTCTATTAATTTGCTTTAATACAAAATTTAGCCAACCATGAAACCGATCTGTCCATATTATTATGCATCTTAGTAAGAGATCACTAATCCGCTCTCATCTTACTGAGAACGAACATAGTCCTACTACCTTGCTTGCCACAGAACCACAGGGAGAGGAAGCATGTCCCCCGCCGGGAGCAACAGCATGCCCATGGGGAGCAGCCCGTCAGCACCATCCCTTCCTGACACAGGTGTAGCAAGCCCGCGACCCCAGCAGGAACCGAGCACACCTGCTCGGGCATTTCCAACTCCTGCAGAAAACCATGACGCTCACTGGACAGAGGTAAGCTGACCTTCAGGACATGCAGAACAGGCCCAGGACTGAGCCGTGGACAGCCCACCCGTGCACAGCAACTTGCTGACCTGACTTCCCTGAGCAAAGCAGAGGGCCCCCCGTCCTGTCCAAGTGCGTTGGACGTGCGGCTGTACTCAGAGGGCTCTGGAGTAAGGGGCAAGCCACCACGGAATGGCGTGCTTCCCACTGCCCAGACTCTACCCAGACTCAGCATCGGAATTACATGGTTTGTACACTGTGAAAAAGTGCTCTGAAATTTTCACTGGAAGGCCCAGGCCTACCACCTGGAGAAGCTACTGACAGTCGCCCTGTCCTTTCTCAACAGTGGCTTGTAAAGAAAGAAAACAACTGATGGGCCAATCACTTCCATCACTAGTGAAAACTCTCCCCAAACGGGAAAATCAAAACCAAAACCAAAACCTAAATGTCTCCAACTAGACTGAGTAGAAATTTTAAATGATGTGTTTAAATATTTATTTTTAGTATGTCAGCATTCCTTCTATTTTCCTTCTAAGGTGCAAGATTCCACCAATAAAAACAGTTAGGTCACTAAAGCCACATAATACCCTTCACATGTGATTACACAGCACTTTACTGACTTTTAACCCAAAGGTAAACCCCCCATCACGAGATTGAAGTCTCTAAGTAAAATATAAACGTTTGACGGGAAAAGCCGTGTACGTGGGCATCTCAGCCTCACAGGTGATGTAGTCATGTGGCCACAAGAAGCGAGCACGCCCTCCTAGATAAGCTGAACGTGCATAAGTATAGCACAGAGGAAAACAGAATGTGCCCGCCACCCACACGCGCCCCTTCCGTGGACACTCACGACATTCATCGCGTCAGAGCTGGGGACCTGCAGCAGGTTCTGCTGGTGGAAGCTGGTGGAGAGGGCCTGAGACTCCAGCGTGCTGGAGTCTTGTAGCTGCTGGACGGGGGCAAACGTGGGCTGTTGGCTGTACGTATCCGTCACGGTAAAGCCTGAAACAAATCAGAAAATACGAGCTCGACAAAAAATACTACAGTCACACCAAAAGAAGGCCAAAAAAGTTGGCTTCACAAATAAAGATTTCTACCTTCTGAATCAGACTCAGGGTTAGCTTTTGCCAGCAGGCTCTGAGAACGCCCGCACACGGGCAGGAGGCTGCACCCAGCACCGCCCCTGCCAGGCAGGCTCACAGACAAGCCGCCAACGCACGGCTGCCCCACCGTCCGACTTCGACTCAGTCACCGTTTCTGGGCACAAACTACGTGCAGAATGGTCATCAAAGGTGCGTTCCAGACAACCTGAGCAGACCACCCGCATGCACGCATGTGCACACACACACGCAATCCATGCGGAACGTTACCGGGTTGGAAATCATAAATTTCAGAAGGGCCTTAAAACAAACACCTCAGGCCGCTGTAGAATCCTCCTGACCCGGGTAGAGCCCCTGAAACGCACGCGCAGGACCCACCACTGACCCTGTGACAGGCCACCCGGTTCGAAGGACGGCTGCGGAGGCGCCTGCTCTTCAAACTGGTCCATGTGCCCCTGGAGAGCGGGTGGTGGAGCCACGAACCTGTCTGAGATAAAAACACAGACAGGCAGGGAATTCACACATTTCGAAGATGCGCACATCCACCGATCTGTCCAAAAGGATACGCACATGAGGTTTCAAAAATTAGCCTCCTTACTTTGAAAAGACAGTAGGACGGCAAATTTTATATATACATATAATTGTATTTACATATTAACTTATTTACTAAATATTATATATAAATTATATATTCATAAATATATACCCACTTATATGTTTGTATGTGTGATACATATTTGTATATATTTATATAAATATATAGTTTTATATGTATATTATATATATATTTCACATATGGGGTATAGTTGGGGCATTATCTTTGAACTTCCAGAATATCACTTCACAGTTTACCCTAAGACTCAGCCAGTCTTCTAATAGGGAAGTACCCGGAGGACAATGACACTCAAGGACTATTTAACACCTTTTTGGATGTGCATTGTTCCAGGCAACACAGAGGATAAAAAGCACAAAATCCTGCTCATCGACTAAATACACCTGGGGCTTCTGTACTATCAGACCCTAAGCTGGCCGGCAAACGGTCTGTTAGCAGGCCTGCCCGGGACAAGCAGCCCGTTCCAGACACGCATCAACCATGTCCCCAAGCTCACTGTCTACAGCTGAGCTGACACCTGGTAGCAAGACTCCATCGATGAGGACAGCAATGGCTGGATCGCTGCAGAGGCCAAGGACAACGGCTCGCAGACTGGCACTGGTGTGTGCGTCAGACTCTCGCTGCGCAGTAACAGGATACTAGTGATCAGACAGATGGAGTCTTACTGAAAACGGAAGCTACTCTCAACTCAGGATGTGTTGAAGGTCCTATGTCTGTAATTCTCTGTCACAGCAAACTCTCTCTCAGGTGTACACACACAGCACAAATTGGGACTGAAAAAGTCAGAGATGAGAGACACCCATACAGACTGGAGTGAGCATACACGGCTGCAAAAGTATGCGGATTGTTCTAAGAGTTAGAACTTGGGAAATATTTGCCTTCATCTGCTTCCAGAGGCTGATGCGTCAACTGCTGACCCAGTCCCGCGTCCTCCGTGCGCACGACCTGCTGAGGCTCCAGGTCCAGCATGGCCTCAGGGTTCGCAGGGCCCGCCGCTGCCGCCTGCAGCTGCTCGCTCTCAATCTCCACCTGCATGTGCGTCGAGACGTGCATGCTCTGCTGGTCCACAGCGCTGTCGTCCAGCGAGGCAGCTTGCTGATGCTGCTGGAGCTGCTGGGCAAGCTCGTATCTTCAAAACATCAACGACAATCCGCACAGTTAGGTGCTGTCAAAACCTACTCCCATGAAGAACTGCTGTGCGAGCCGCCAATCATTAGATAACATTTAAGAAAATTATTTCATTTTGAAGCCGTGGTGGCAATCCAGTTGAAATGAAATGCTATTAATAATTCTAAAGGAAAATCATGTTCCCTTGACTTTAAGTGATTTCACAGATGATAGGGACATGAAAGCAGCAAAGAGAGGATGAAGGACAACACACGCCAGAATACTTAAAATGTAAAAAGAAAATTAAAAAGATAACATACGTTCCAAGGTAAAACTGTCCCAGTTCAAAATTAAAATTAAAACTCATTCTGCAATAAGTAAAAAAGAACTGAACAAAACAAGATAGGGCCTTTACGGACCGATCTCAGTACTATAAACAAATGTGGTGCAGAGCCCGGGGGCAGAGTCCCATGACCTGCTGTCCCTCGCAGTCCGGGGCACAGACACCTTATTTGAGCAACGGTCTATTGTGTGACAGAACACAGACTAGGAGGCATACACGTGGCTGCTCCTATTTTCTGCAAAACCATGCTCATGTTAGTATGGCTGCTACATATAGTAAATACATGAAGTACATTTCCATCCAGGTCAACAATTTATCTTTCAAAGAGAAAACTGAACAGTGAATTCAGTGAATGAATCACAGAACTTAAAAAAAGCAGCTCAATCCCGATGAATAGGCTGCACCGTACTGGAGACATGGCCGGTCTGTCCTCCTCTCCAAGACACCAGGGTCAAACACAAACACACTCCACCATTTGCCTGATTCCAGAGTCTTACGAATCTGCCTACCTAGAACTCCATTCTAGTTCCAAACAAAACCTTTCTTCTTCATTTTCTAATATCAAAAATAGTCACCTCTCAACGACTTTCACTGAGGAAGGGGGAAGATGTCATAGAAATAGGCCAAGTATGAAAACGTACACGGTGACACCTTCACTCTGACTCAGCAGTGCCAGGACGTTCACCCCGGGCCCCTCCACGACCCCCCACAGGGGAGCAAGTGTGCCTTGCGTGGTAACTTTTTTTCTGTACTTTTACTACTTTCTATACTATTCTATACTTTTACCTTTTATACTCATTTTTAATGTAAGTGTATATGGTATTTTAGGGATTCCCAGCACTTCAAACGAAGGGATGAAACACGGGAGCTCCTCGCTGCCTGCAGGTGGGATCAAGAGTCCATACGATCCGTGGAAGGAGATCATCAGCTCTGCAGCATGACAGACCCACCAGTTTACACTGTCACCTCATGCCACACATCTCCTACAGTAACCGTGCCAGGTGTCCCCCAGCAAAAGGCGTGACAATCAGCAGCCAGGCAACACTCCACCTAATAGAGGAGACCCAGCCAAAACCAGCTGACCCACTTCCCAGAAACTCTACCCCTGGCTGTCACATCCACCAACAAGGCCCACAGCGTGGACTCCCACACCACCAGAGCGAGTGCACGGACTTAAAAAGGCCTTATTCCCTGACAGAAAAAGTCTTCTTCGCGTGCCACCGGGCCAGGTTCTGTCCAAGCTCTACCCTCCTAGCACGTACTGCTCTCAGGCACGTGGGATAGTGACCAGGGGGCACAGGACCCTGAACATCGAGGCACCATGAATTCCCCAGTTCAAATGCATGTGAAGCCCATCATTTCCTCCATAAAATGAAGGAAAGTATAAACTGGATATAAAATTGGCAAGAGTCCCCCACACTGACACCACTACCATCATATTCCAGCAGTTAAACTTCTCAGCTAAGTAATCAACTGTGCCAAAATCAAAGAAGACAATTCTTCTTTGCCCTAAGTGCTTAGGCATCCGTGTGCTTGGGCATCAGAGGGATAAAACCAAACACCTATTTCTCACAGTTAGCTTATTCTACCATTTGGGGTTTGGTTTTGTTGGTAGCATCAGGCAGAGATATCTGGGTTAAAGTATTGCCTGAAAATAAATGTTCCGGGGCAGAAGGTTTAATATTCTTTGGTGGTGGACCTAGTGACGCTTACTTTCAAAGTCTCCCGGGATGTGGTCGCCTTATCCAGGCTTTTCATTACAACAGACTACTGTGGCTTCCCAGAAACAGGTGAATGAGCTCCAGATACAGCCAGAAATGCATTCCTGCAAGGGCTTCCTGGCTCATCTCCATTTAGAGATGAGACAGCCCTCTAATCAAATAAAAACGTAAGTCAGTTTTAATGATGGATTTATGTGATAACTAAAACATACATTCTGTTTAAGTCAACAACACAGAATCATGACTGTTCAGATACACTGATGATATGCCTAGACATCACAGGGTTGGTTGACTAAGATTTTCCTTCTTGCGATCTTCACGACCTGATTTTGCAATCTTCAGTCCCTATCAGCCATAGTTTATTTAGCATTTCAGCTACCACTGCCTGTTTTAAGAGAGCTTACAAAGCATTTAGCCCAATGTAGACTACTTCAATATTATGTTAAAAATAAAAGCATTAACATTTTAGTCTGTGGCTCTTAACAACGACATAAAAGTTTCTTCAGCCCATACACCTCAAGCTAGACATAATACTATAGGAATCAAAGACAATGATTTCTTAAAAACACTCTCCACCACTATCTGGGAATTACAGATTACTAAAAAGTGACCATCAGAATTGTACCTACCTATGGGTTTTCATGTGCTTTTTGCAATTTAGTGAGGTCTTAAATGTTTTCTGGCAATAGGGACACATATAGGGACGAAGGTCATTATGGATACCCATATGTCGCCGTAAGCTCCCACCAGTAGTGAAAGCTCCGTTACATATCAGACACTTGAAAGATTTTAGTCCAGTGTGCGTTCGGACGTGTGCTTTGAGCACTCCTGCAGAAACAAAGCCTCTTCCACACTGAGAACATTTAAAAGGCTTTTCACCTGTATGTGATCTAAAAAGAATAAAAATTTTCATGAATAAGCTTCTTACAACTTTATAATGCTTTATCTCTAGAGTGCACTCGTACATTCTTTCACTTGAGCACCACTTTTTAAAGCTAAGCAGTGAGAAACCCGAGATGCAGAGAGCTCGAGTGACTTGCCTGAAGCCACAGAGCTGGTGCCCCGCGGAGACAACGCTGCGTCAGCAGGCTGCCCCTACGTTCTAAATGCTTTCATGACATGTCACTGTCTCTTGGGACCGAGTTTCTGCTTTCTTTTCACTGCTGCTAGCAGAAGCATTAATCTAAACGCTGATGAACACACCTGAAAAACTGCTCAAGTACGTAACTGTAATGCGACAGACCAAGTACTTGTTTGACACGTCCTAGAAATTACAAATGCTGAAATGTAAGAGGAATGCAAATAAAGCTCAGTGACAATTTCTGGGCAAAATATTTTAGTTGAGACACTAAAGAATGAAGGCATCAGTCACCAATAAATATTTTGGGGTCAAGTGCGACACTTTAAATACCCAAAGCTAACACTACCCTCCTCACTACTCCTCCACGTCACCAGCTCACTACACCACTGCATTTCCTCTACGTTTTCCATTTCCGAATCTGTTACCTTACCTGATGTGTTGTTTAAGGTGGCAAGATTTTTTATACGCACGATGACAGTAAAAACACTTGTACGGTCTATCTGCTTCGTTTACAAAATTATTATTAAAGTAACTTTGAAAAAACTGGTTTCTTGGAATGGGCTGGATAAGACCTACAAACCAAAAGAAAATCAGGAATAATTCACTGTTAATGCTACTAAAAAAGTTAAATGTTAAAAAGCAACTGCTTTTCCCAGAAGATGAAAATTTCGAGGAGTTAAAGTATAGATTCCAGTGTTGCCGCTAAATGCTATCTTAATCGTGTTAGAAAAAGGCCCATTGGGGACACTTACAAAGTTCCTCTAAGACAGATACTTTCCAACACAGGGACTATCTGTACATCGCAGCTACTTCCTTTGGGTCTAGAGCCAATTTTTAATGGATTCCTACATCTGTTGGCATGGAATCTAAATAAACTATATCCAAAATGTAGGTTAATCAGGACACTAAATCCCTTATTTATTCAGTATAAAGACTGCACCCTAAGTACTTTAATAAACTCAAAACACAAATGATTCTAACATGATCTTCCATTCTAAAAGCAAGTCAGCATTTTCATAGAAATTTTATTGAAGGGTTATCTGTCAATAGCACAACTGCTAACTTAAGTATTTCAGGTTTGACATACTTTCAATAAAGGAGGAATCCCCTTAGGTTGACTATGTAATAATATGTCTTGATCAAGCTCCTGAGTTAAATATGCAGTTCAGGACAAACATACACCTGAGCCTTGTGAATCACTTCGCATTCACCTGGAACCTGAAGAGAAAGACCCCCACTGTCCAGGCCCCTGGCTACTCCTCCTTCTCCCAGGACAGCACAGCTGTCCGCCAGGATCCGGGCCCGGCCCCCAACCTCCCTGCTCACTTCACTGCACCAGGATTCTCAGCAGGCCCCTCTCAGGACGCTGCAGTCCCAGCTTCCCCTGACATCCAGACTCCAGCTCGATTCTCTGCCCCAAGGCCTACCTCCCTCTCCCACCTCTCCTTGTACATGACAAACACCCCTCTTCCCGGTCAGACGGGGCCAGGTATTTCAGGATTTCTGACAAGTCCCTTCCCTGTCTCGTTGAGTCATTGGCCAGTCCTGGGGATCCAACTTCTCCAATGCCTTGTAAACCTGTTTCCCCATTTCTATTCCGCTGCCATGAATCTCAAATAATGGAGAAAGAATAACAAAGACGGAGCGAACTCAGTAGCTCAGCTAAGCCACATCACTCACTCCTCCATCAGACTTAAGTCCTGACGCTTGCATCAGACCATTTAGTTTTCAAAGAGAACTCAGAACCCTCCCTTGTGATCTGTGTTCAATCCACCCAGCACAAACCCTAAAGCTGCCAAGACTTTTCCCATTTCACAAGTGTTTTGGACCAGTGAGCCGAATCAGGGCCATGCAGAGACATTCTCTCTCCAGCAGCTCCAACGCTGTTCTGTGCTCCCCGGCTTTTTCCTAGCGACTCCGCTCCTGCTCAAAACAAACAGCTTGAGTCGCCTTTCCCAGGACCCACATACTGAATCTGATGGAGACACCACGATGAAGCGAGCCTCCAAATCACTGTTCTGCTCAACCTTCTCCCGTCTCGACAGAGCGAACACATGCCTTCAATGGCTTCCTGTCAAGTTCTCAATTACCACGACTGCTCAGCGTGGCATTCCAACACCAGCTCGCTCACCATCTCCACCCACCTGCCCACCCTTCATCCCGCCCCTCTAGACCCCTATGCTCTCACTCTTTTCTGAGCAAACCCAGCACTTGTCACTGTTCCTTCTCCCAACTCTTTTCCACACTCCACCGGCTGTAGCTTGAGCAGGGGACCTGTCCCAGGGACACAGCTTTGGGCCCATGACACCTGCCAAGGAGGACAGAATACGACCCAATAAATTAGGTGAAGAGAACGGAACGCTCATGTGAATATTCTCCAAAAGGGCAACCAAGAAGAGGGACGTTGCAGGTCACGACTCAGCTTAGGAAGCTGTGACGTTCAAATGCTCACACAGAAGTCTCTGGGGGAAAACGCAACAGCAATTCTCAGGCACAATTATTTGGGATTTTATGCAAATAGGCTCAATAACTATTAGCATAAAAGTACCACTTAATTCAAATGATAAACTCCAAATAAATAGTATCTAATAATCCATTTTCTTGTTCCTTGTTGAACTTAATAGAATGGTTTCTTTTTCTTTTTTAAAGATGTATTTATTTATTTGAGAGAGAGAGAACGCTAGAGAGCGGGAGGGGCAGAGGGAGAGAGAGAATTTCAAGCAGACTCCACAGAGCGTGGAGCCTGACTCGGGGCTCGATCCCAGGACCCTGACATCGTGACCTGAGCTGAAACCAAGGGTCGGATGCTCAACCGAGTCACCCAGGTGCCCCTGGAATGAATGATTTCTAAGAAAAACATCAATAAAAAAATTTTAAAGTTCACCCCACAACTAAAATGAACTGTACAAATATACAAATTTGATAAATTAATTTTATGTACTTTATTAGATAATATATAAAGAAGCAATGAGAAAGAAAAATATAGAAAGTGAAATAATTTTAAGCAACTAGTTATACAAATCACATAAATTTCTGGAGGTAAGTAAAATAAACGGAATTCACAGTCATTTTGAAAAAGTAAAAGTCCTCCAGTGGTTGTCTTCTCTCTCTTTTACTGGGGGAGGAAGCAAGACACTTCACAAACAAGAAAACAAACTATTGCTTTTGCCATTTTATCTACCAAAAAAGAATAAGCCTCACAAGGAGGGGTGCGGAGAAGCTGTCCGAAGCTCAGCACCGAGTCAGACCTGCAATCAGTTATGAAGGCAGAGCCGTAGGCGAGCGCCCTCCTAGAACCCTGCACTGCGGACACAAGGCTCAGGAGCCGGCAGGCCTGCACGGTTTCAGCACCAGCAGTCGCCTGCGCCCCACCTCACGCCGTTAGATGACCCCACGCTGCCGGCCCATGACACCCGCCCAGCCTTCGCTGAGCGGCCGGTTGCCAGAATCTGGCCAACGGCCTTCACACGGGCCGTCTGCAGCGGGCCTCCCAGCTCCCAGCCCCTCGGAGGCCCACGCTGTGACATGCCGACTCTACACAGGGCCCCCCTCCAGCCACCTACCCAAGCACCCAACGCTTTCTCCTGTGGCTTCTGGAACCTACGTTCTCCATCACAAACCACTTCACAGAATGTCTAGTTCCTCCCTTCTTTTCCGTAACCGTGAGTCTACGGTCAACAGTGAGTCCCTTGAAGCTGGTACTCTCACTTCTAGTGACAGCTTCTGCTCTGAGTTGAGGAGCCCTGGCCTTGCGCCCGGGCCTGGCTCGGGCCTCCCAATCTGTCATCACTTCCTTCCCAATCCTGCCTGTAGCTCCATGAGCCAGGCCCCCGTTTCCAACTCTCGGGCAGCCTACAAGTGCTCTGGCCCCTTCTCAAATAATTAGGAAGCTCATAAAAAGAAAAACAAAAGAACCTGCACTCAGAGATAATCATAATTACCAGTTGTGTGTATTCTAACAAAAGAGTTTGTTATTATACAAACACAAGTGGGATCAAGCATACACACTGTTCTGGTTATACTTCATAAATATATATTGACTGTCTTTCCAAGTCAGTACATGGGACATCATCCTCATCATCCTTCTGATGTCTGCAAGGAATTCCACTGGACCAACGTATCCAGTTCACGTCATAGAGTTTTGATGAATATTTCTAGTGCTTCCAACTGTACAGTGACACACTGTTGAAATTGTAAACAATCTAGTCTACACAACTGTTTACCTTAGTGATTTCCCCCTAGCCAAGGAATTACAAGTTCTAGGATGGTGTCCACGCATATGTATTTAGAAACAGATCCCTAAATGATTCAGAGCCCTTTACAAGTGGGTGGGGGGGGGCAGGGGTCCCCTACTTTGAGCTATTAAGGCAGTAAAATAACAGACCTCATTTTTCAGATGCTTTTTCACTTCTAGTAATTTAACAAAGTTCTGTTACACAGTTAGGCTAATTACAAGGTCTCAGTCTTTGAAGAAAAGAAATGAAGGGTGAACTAAACATACATAAATGTCCTAAGGTCTTAGTGATAATATGTCATTTCTACTAGATCATCAGTCCATATATGTATACATATATTATTTTAAGGAAACTACTAATCTCAAAGAAAGGCATGAATAAATTCTACTTGATGAATTTTGTGTCTCAAAAACAAACTGGAAATGTCCTTAAAACTTCCTAAAATTCCAGGGCACCTGGGAGGCTCAGTAGGTTAATTCTAACTCCTGGTTTTGACTCAGGTCAATGATTTCAGGGTCCTAAGATCAAGCCCCGCATCGGGCTCTACACTCAGCATGGACTCTGCTTGAGATTCTCTCTCTCTCCCACTCTGCCCCTCCCCTCTTGCTCTCTAAATAAATAAATACATACATACATAAAATATTTTTAAAAAAACTTTCTAAATTCCTTCCATGATAACAGAGGAGAAAGCTTTATCTTGTTAGTGTTTGGGGAAAATATATTTAAGTCTTAGAAGAGCTTTCTCATATTGTAAATAGTAAGAAAATGCAAATACAACAAAAAAACAAAATGATGACAAACATAACACACATTATGTATCAAACATAACATATAAAATAAATTTAATATATAAGATTAGACAAATGTGTTATAAAAAAAAAAAAAAGCAAGATAGGAGTGCCTGAGTGGCTCAGTCATTAAGTGTCTGCCTCCAGCTCAGGTCATGATCCCGGGGTCCTGGGGTCAAGCCCCGCATCAGGCTCCCTGCTGGGTGGGAAGCTTTCTCCCTCTCCCACTCCCCCTGCTTGTGTTCCTTCACTTGCTGTGTCTCTCTCTCATCAAATAAATAAAAAATAAATAAATAAAATCTTTAAAAAAAAAAGCAAGATAAATGCTCTAATATCAATATAATTAAAACATGAATATAAACTTGGAAGATCAATCATTACTGCCCTGAGGTTTAAAATAATAGATAACCAAAGCCTGGCTCACTTTCAGATTAAAGTATTTCAAATATCTATGCTACACAAAATGATAAAACACTGATACACACACACACACACACACGCAGAGATAGTGATATATAGGGAAAAACAGTAATTTCTAAAGATATATAT